GCGTCCCCTGTACCCGTACAAGTGCGACGGAGACAGAGGCAGGGAGACGACACGGCAGGGTTCGGAACGAGAGCGCATGGACTGGGACTCGAGCTAAAGTCTCGGGGCCAAGTTCTATTGTCGTATTGCTATTGCCAATCCCTTCAGCTTCAGCCATACGAAAACCGTGCTATATAATTTGAAACTTCACCGAAATTTTCGAAAAAAAAAATACTCAAAATTTCGGCGAAATGTGTACAAATTGTCAAGTTGTTTCCCCTTCCTCGCCGTGCCATTGCCAGGGTGCGTGGCTCCCCGGTGTGAATCGAACGAAAATAAGAATGCCGTCGGCCGGCCCGAGGCGCCCGAGGCGTGAGAGGTGTGATTCGGCTCGAAGGTCCCGGCTGCTTTAAATTCTGAAAACAAAAATAGCGCGGGAAATGGGAATAGCGCGCGAACGGCCTTCAGCCGCGGCGCCCTGGCCTGGCCCGGCCAAAGGCAGGGAATGATATGATTGTATTCGCAGCGAGTTTCAATTCGGCCGTTTACTTGTCCACGCTCCGCTCGGTCCGTGCTTTCAGCTCTTTTCCCGCATTCCGCGCCCCTCGGCCCCCCTCGGCGAATCAGCGATCTGCCTCACTCTAGCCCGACGCCAAAGAGGCGCGACTCCTTTGCAGTGGGGTGGCCGTCGGGCCGCGGACCAAACTTTAGCGGCTGTCGCGGGGTGGGGCGCGCGCCGCGCAGATCTGCAGACTCGCGCTGAGTGCTGCAGGCAAGAGGGCGCCCGTGGGCTGGCATCACTGTGCGACACAGTGTATCGGCGCCATCGCCGCGTCCTGCACGCCAGCCTAGCCTCGCACGCGCCGCGGCGTCGCGGCGTTGCGGCACGGCCGAGGGCACGGCACGCTGCGCGGAAAATCGCGTCCCTACACTGTGAGCGTGATGCCGCTGTGTGTGTGCGTCGGGACCCGTCGGTGTTCGGCACTCAATACTCGCCCGTAATGATGCGCTTTGCATGCGACTCGCACGGCGCCCCGCTTTCCTGCATGCTAGACAATGCTAGCATGCACGTCGCGCGGCGCCGCGCTTGTCGTTTTCCGAAACACTTGTTTTCCTTTATTCTTTACTCCGTGCCGAACGCGCGGCCGCGGCGGACACACTGAAAAAAGCTGGTGCTTCGCTACAGTGTGGTGTCTGTGTATGGTGTTGCGACCCAAGCAAGCAGCGTGTGCAAACTACATTCTCCTCGCAGGGGCTTGCAGCCTGCAGGCTCAGTGAATCTACTCTATCAGGAACTTCCGACCGGACACACTATTGTGATTTTCCGCGGCGCCCAGCGCCCCGGGCCCGGCTTGGCGAAGCGCAGCGTAGCCCATAGCGCAGCGCGTCGCGACACCAGAAACTCGATCGCGAATTTCAGCCCCCCCCCCTCTTGTTCTGCTCCGGGGGAAACAGGCTCATAATTTCTCGAGGGGAGCTGGTCTGTGCCACCGCTCCGGTGAAGCACGTGATTTGGTGCTTCTTAGTTGCCGGGGCGTACCTCAGCCGCAAGAACCGGGTCCCCGGTTCGATACCGCTTCCCCCGCCCCCCCTTTTTTGCTGGTGTGGGGTGGCTTTTGGCAGTGTGGTACGCACCTGGCGGGAGTCTCGGAGTGCAGTGCTCCTCGTTGCTTCGCGGTGCCGCGGCAGGGCTAGGCAGGGAGAGATAAGCGCGTGGTTTGCTCAGCCCGTCGAGAGGCGCGGGGCTCAGCCTCTGCGATGACATCCCCCCCCCCTCCCCCCACCGTGTCACGTCTGCTCATTTACGCCCCCCGCCCCCCGGCGGCACCGCACCGCACCGCAGCGCGCCGCCCACCGGCAGCCACAGTCCGCACGGCACCGCGCGGGGTAATCCCATCACGGCGCACACTCACAAAACGCCGCCGGCCCCGCATGGCCCTGGCCCCGGCTGGAGCTGGGCGGATCAGAGCAAGACAGGCAGTGGAGTGGCAGAGCCCTGCAGTGCCCCGGGCAGCGCTGCCAACGTCGAAAGGTGAGGCGCGTCACTCTGGGACTGTCTCACCGCAAGGGGTGGTTACTCTGGACCGGAAGTGGGTGATAGCTTTGATGTATGACCGGAAATGGGTGGTGTCATCGATGATGATGTTTATGTACACTTGCCTAACGTGTCGCTACGAAGTGCCTCAGAAATCTCAGCCTCTGACTTGCAGTGTGCCGGCGTTCGCCGACGCGGCGTCCTCCTCCAAGGAAATGGTGTCGCTGTGGCCGAAGCACCTCCCGCCCCCGCCAATTGCGCGCGTATTGTGGTGGTCCTGGTGGGTGCTGGTGGGTCCTGGCGGGTGTTTGGCGCAGTTCGCTGGCCAGTGGCCGAGCCAGCGCCGGGGGCGGCTGGGGGCGGCTGGGGCGGCTGGGGGCGGCTGGAGGCAGTGACCCCCGACGCCCACTCTGGCCGCACTCCGGTGACTGGTCCATGATGCAGCCCTTCGCGGCAACAGTGCCCCCCCCCCCTCAGCCCCCCAGGCGCACGGCAGCGAGGGGCCAGCGCTGCTGCTGTCTTTTGTTAGCAGAGCGGACAGTCGCCCCTAAACAACCATTTGCTCCGAGGGAGCGCGCCCCGCGCCCCGGCCATGTGCGACGGGCCCCACTGGGGCCCCCTGGGCCCCACAGAGAGGAAAGGGTGCTGAGTGCAAAGCGGAGTAAAAGACGAGTTCTTGCGGCGGGACCCCGTCCACCCCGTCCCCGTGCTCCCGGGTCCCGGGCTGATCCGAACAGTCGTTCCGCCGCTCTGTCTCTGCGGCGGCTCGTCCCGTTGGGGTGCGAGAGAGATGGAGGTCGCCTGGAGGCGCGCAGTGCGGTGGCAGTTGACCCGGCCGCGGCGAAACGACTCCCCAGTGTCCGTCTGCCTTTTTCGGAACGCAGCGCTAAACTAATGACTTGGCTGGAGTGTGCGAAGTACAAACGGGAGTGCAGTGGACCCCTCCCCGCCGGCTTGGGGGCCCCTGGAGGCGTGCCCTTCTCCATGTAATCGAGGACAGGTAGCTTTGAATTCAGTTGGTGGTATAAGCAGATCCAACGCAACCGAAACCGCGAAACCGCGAAAGCGAATTCTGCGCTGGCGGTGACATTCCTGATGGAGCCGATGAAAAGCGGGGGCGGCGCGGCGTGCGCTTTGCGTGCGTTTTCATAAAAACCGGGATTGCTCGCTCTGATTACTGCAGCCACCGCAATGCGGTCCATTCCGAACGGTCGCTCCGTCTCTCTCGCACTCGCGCGGCGCGCCGTGGCGGTGCGAGAGAGACGGGGCCGTGTTCGGAATGGAGTACCGGGCGCACGCACCTCATGAAGCGGTGAGGGACGGTCGCAATGTTTTCGAAGCATTGCGGAATCTCGGGGCGGGCCCACACTGTAGCACGTCGCCAGAGACATTGGCTCGTTTTCGTTTTCGCAGTGTGGGCGGCAGGAGCAGGCGAGAGCGGCGAGAGCAACGGCAATGGAGGGGAAGGCTAAGTTGTGGCCGAGGAAGCGCGCGCGCGCGCGCCCCGCCCTACCAGGCCTACTGTACGCACTCGAATATACGTTGGCACTCGCAGCCCACGCCTGCCGGCCTGCCGGCGTGCCGCACCGCCCTGTTCATTTCATTCGCTACGGCGTACAGTACTGCCGAATGCTCGAATATAGAAGGCAGCGCTTCGTCTCGGCCGCGCCTCGCTTCCCCGAAGGCCCGAAGCAGCCTGCGGGAGCGCCGCCCAGGAAACGGAGCCAAAACTACCTGGAAGACGAACTCCCAGTCAGTCGTAAGAAAACAATCCGGAATCTCCGTCGCTCGATACAAATTTTGTTGTTGTTCGGTGTTTGTTGCGTCCCGGGAGACGTGCATGGCCCGCGGGGAGTATGAGCGGTAGTAGTAATGGTCGAGCCGAACAGGGGCCAGCCCTCCGGAAGCACGGAACTCCGGAACTCCGGAAGTCCGGAGCTACACCCAATCCGGCCCACCTGTGTGATCGTGCCCCTTCCCTTCGGCCCCTCGTGAGTGCGATACGGTTACAGTGCTGACACTCCTTGCAACTTGGGCCGTAAAACCACTCCGCCTACGGAGCGATTTCGAACGCCGCTGTCGTCTGTCTCACTCGCACTCATGAGGCGTGTCCGAGGGCGTGTCCGTCCGAAGAGAAGTTCCGTCGCTCTGAGTGCCTTAGAGAGAGAGGGCTTAAAAGTCAATACAGCACTTTTACAACAAGGTTTATTTTTTAATTTTAAAGATTTTTCGAAGACGAGATTTTTTTTCTTTGCCCATACATGACGTGTTTTCCCGGCTGAGCAAAGCTGCTCGGCGCGGCGATGGGTGCTGTGGCGTGGCGAGACGCGGCGTGGTGCCGCGAGGCGTGGCGTTGTGATGACAGGTTTGACGCCATCATTACTGCGCGGTTGCCGCCCGCTTTGAAAAGCCCGTTCATCGGGGCGCGAACCCGCGAACCCCATGTCGACGGAAGCGAAAGGAACCCCTATTGTGTTGGGCCTGGCCGAGGGCCCGGCGCTTCCCCTTTTGCACTGAATGGCCCCTCCACTTAATTATGGAATTGATTTCAGACCGGCCAAACATTGCAAATGGGGAACTGTTCGCAATTTTGTCACCAGAACATGGCTGTACATATTATGGAGGCTGAGAATTTTTCTAAGAGGCTTGGCAATTCTTTTTAGTCTAGAAATTTTTGTTTTGTTTTTTTGCTGTATGTTTCGCTTTTTTTTGCTGGTTGTGTTCAGAGCTTTGGACTCCTCCGCGGCGAGAGGTGGGCGAGCCCCCCGCGACTTAAGTCCCGAAAACCTTGCCAGAATAATTTTCCATGAATTTTGCCAAACGAAGCTCCGGCCTAATGGGGCGCTCCTTTTTGTTGGCAAATGGATTTGCATGATTCGGCTTTGAGCTGGGCTGGCCGCGCCGGGCGGTGTGGCTGGCACCTCCGTTGGACTGTGGGCGTGGTGCGTAGAGCGCGGTCTGACGCCGCCTGCTTGTCTTGTTGCAGAGATGGTGGAGCTAGAAGACGAGGCTCGTGTTTAGCAGCGACCACGGCGGGTCCGGCAGGTCCTCCCTCGGCGGCGTAGGTCAGGGCCTCTCCCCCGCCGTGGTCGAGGCCCCGGCAGATAGCGACGACGAGGTCGGCTTTCGGCTGCGGATCTCCTGGAAGCCTCGGCACCGCCCGACGTCCTCGGGCACCTCCGCGTCGGCCGGCTACGCGGCGCCGACCTGCAGCACCAGCTCCAGCGAGCTGTACGCCTAGGACGCCGCCGCCCAGCCGACCTCGCCGTCGCCGCCGCCCCGCCGTCGTCGCCACCCGGCCGCCGCCGGCCGTCTCCGCCACCGCCGTCGTGGCCGCCGCCGACGCCGACGCCGCCCCGCCACCGGCACTGCCTCAGCTGCTCCGCGGCACAGACCGCTGACGCAGATGGCCCGCAAGGACAAGTGTCAAAGCCTCCAATGGACTTCTTAACTTATTGCTAGCGTTTGAAGCCACCTTTTCATTATTGTACAATGGTGTGACTGTGTGAGTGCGTGGTCACGTTGTCGGGAACGTGTCTATGGCCGATAGGTGTGAGTGTGTGTGTACGAGAAATGTGCTGCTGTGATTCTCTTTTATACTCAAGGTTGAAGAGAAGGTGGGCGCCTCGTCAAAAAAGACTTTTGTGTGTCGTCGTTCTTTGTAACGATTTCCCGACTGCTACACTCTTGCGACGTGTGGGGTGACAAAACTTCTTTTTCAGCTTTGTACAGAGTGTCTCACTTGGTCCATCAGTAAGGGGCTGCCTATCCTCTGGCTTGCAGGCGCTGGGTGACATCGCTCGCGCCTGCAGGCGAGAAGATAGGCAGCCCAACCAACGAAAAAACAAAAAACAATGCGACACCCTGAACAGTCTTCATTTATATCTATGTCATTCATTTTTATATTTATCTCTCTAGATATATGTACGATGTAAAATTTTGAATGTGATTTTTGTGTTTAATTGTCCTTTACCTTTTTTGTAAAATCAGATCGATAGTGGCTCTGTTCCAACTTTTGACCTGTCTTAAATATCTATAACTGGTTTTCTTTTTTTGGTCAAAAACTGCAAAAATAAGAAAAAAAAATGTGGTCGAATTTTGCGACCGGCCTTCCTTGTGCCATTGAGTCTCGTCATTTGTCTCTCTAGTCGAGCCGCGGAGACTGTTTCACTTTGCTCAAGGCTCCGGTTCCGCTCGCGAACACTGCCCGGACTTTCAAAGTTTGTGTACTTTGCGGCTCATTAAAGTGTCGCCTTCGCAGAGACAATTGGCAGTTAATTGCCTCCTGCACCATCTACATGTGTGCGAGCTCTAATTATTACGTCCTGTTTCGTTATTTTCTTTTCCCTTTTCATTTACGAAACAAGTCTACAACATTGAATTATTATGTGTCAAAATAAATAATGATTGTGTGCCAACAGAACGTTTACAGAACCCTTTGCTGCCCTCAGACACCATCATGAACGGCTCTTCTGTCTTATTTTATTTTATTTTGGGAACGAAAAAGAAAGAGTCGTCGACTTACCAAGCGAAACGACGCTGTCGAGATTCCACTATTCTCAGAAAAAATGAAAACGCTCGCTCATTATCCGCATCGGCTCGAGCCTGTGGGTGACTCCGGCCAGACTCGAGACTCCAGACTCCGGCGACGAGAAGAAGAAAAGAGCTGCTAAACGAGCGTCTGGCCGCGCTTCAAAAACAACTTGGATTTCTCCTCTGGAAGGCGGCGGGCGGAGGGGGCTCGCTGTGTGTACGTAATAAGTGGCCTGGTCTTCGCCGGCCACTGGGAGGGGGGGGGGGGCAGAGGAGGGGGCTCGGCCCGATCGCTCGGCCCGCTCAGTTGACACGCCGCGGCCGCAGCCGGACCACCTCTACCCAGTCGGACTTTCCTGTTTCGCTCGGGGCTCGCAGCAGGTACCGTGGAAGGGACAAGTAGTTTACTCAGCACGCCGGGGTCGCCTTGGTGCCGAGTGCCCGAAGGGGTGGGTATCGCGCCGGGCCCTCCCCGTCGGCAGAGAGGTCTGATGGGAAGGTGGGCCGTGAAGCGTGTGCACAGGGCCCAGGGCCCGAGCACGCCGGCCGGCCTAGCCTAGCTGGCCTGGCCCTGGCCGGCGGCACGCTCTGCCGCTCTGGCCAAGGTGGTCAAGGTCGCCTGTGACCAGCCGGGCAAACTTGCAGGGCAGGAGCCCTGGCGGACGCGAGAGAGGCGAGGCTTCATGTTTCATCCCCAGGGGCTGCTGGGCTGCTGGTGCTGCTGGTGGATCGCCGGCCGCCTCTCGCAGCGTGCCGGATGCCGCCGGGTGCGGCCCGGCTTATAGCTGTATCGGGTGAAGCAGCCTGTACCTGGACGTGAACATGGCTGGCTTTAAGCCCAGCCAGGAAGTGGTGCATTTTGACGGCATTACTTGCGGTGACTTCGCGTCAGATTGGATTGAGGAGGGGGGGATAAACATGTCCTCGACGGGTGACACTTTGGCGGGTGAACAACCTCCGAGCAGCGATCAAGATCTCAGTTGAATCCGAACCTGCCTGAACGGGCCTCGACGTCAGCCTGCCCGGCCCACCGGTTGGCAGGCTAGGGGACTTGCGGTGGAGGAGAGGGAGAGGGATAGGGGTCACCGACCTTTTTCAAGTCTGGTGCGGTGCGCGGTGCGCGCTTGGGGCTTGGGGACGGTGCGAGGCTGGCAGGCTGGTCAGGGCCGACAAAACTTTTCCATCCACGTCTGTCCGCGGGTCCCGGGTCCACCCCGAGAGGGTTTCTGGGTTTATTAATGCAGCCTCATGCATACTGGAATCGAGACGGACGCACACAGCCACGCACACACACACACACACCCCACACACACACACACACACACACACACACACACTCACACCGCAGCGTGTCACCCCGGTGCCGCCCACGCGCGTTCAAAGCCTACAATAGTGAAGGGAACGGGCCGGCCGGTATACGGATACGTGCTCGGACTCTCTGAGTGGCCGCCCCGCCCCGCCCCGCCCCACCCCGCCCCGCCCCACCCCGCCCTGGCGACATGAGAGCCGCGGCGGGCGTTGCGCCGCACCGCAGCGCCCCACCTGTCGCAAGCACGCGGAGCTTTAACGGCGGCTCTATTTCAGGGCTGAGCCATAACTTGAAAATCCAACACCAAACCTCGGCGTCATAACAGATTGATTCCGAGTTTGTGTCCTCGCTCAGTCGGCCCTAGTTTGCTTTGTCCCCTTGGTGACGAGATTCTGTCGAGTGGGACGCAATCGTTCGACTCCATTCAACGACACTATCAAAGTTGCTTCTTCTTTGCGGTCCAAAGAAGGTCGCTCACTGATAAAACCTGCATCTGTATTTCCGTCTTGCTAGCGGCTGACGCCGAGGCCCAGGGGCCCGCGGTTCAGGAGACATCATTTGCATCTCCCTCCCCCCTCCCCCTTCCACGTGTTCAGCCCTCAGCCACTAGTGCCTCGTCGCGTCGCCCCGTGTCGCCGGGCCTGGCTGTCTGACTGCCTGACAGCCCAGACGGCCTGGCGTGGCGGTCTGGTCTAGCGGGGCTGCGGCTGGCGCGGCGGGCGCCGCGTCAAACAACATTTGCGCCCGATGGGCAGCCCAGTCAGCGGACGAGCGATTCCGAGCTCTGTCGCTCTGTCTCTCTCGCACCCCTACGGGCCGCCCCATGAGAGTGCGACATAGACAGAGCGACTCTCCGGCATCAGTCTGCAAGCTTGCCGGCTGATAACGAACGGCCGGCCGGGCCGTCGGATTGGCGTTTCGTGTTTTCGCGCTTCGCCCCGCGGCGACCCGGCCGCGCCTCCAAGTAGTGCCGATCCGACGCGACTCCCACACGACCAGCACGGCCAGCCAGGCCTCCGCGCGACCGACCCAATGCGACACAAGAACGCCAAGACCGCCGGGCCCGGCTGCTTGTTCGGAAGTTGGTTCAGTTTTTGCCTGTCTAACTCCGCGCTGCGGTTCATGTTGTTGTTGACGTCAGTGCCACCATGATCCGCGCGGTGGGCGCCGTCGTCGCGGTGCTGCTGGTGCACGTCCACGTCGGCCACGCCACCCTCGACGGCAACAGCTTGCGGTACCCCGCCGCCACCAGGTGAGGCAGGGCGACTTTCCGCCTCAACTCTTCTTTCACCTCGGGGAGACAGCTGCGAGCCAGTGTTGCCACACAAGCAGGGAAAACTTTCCACAATGCACGTGAGTGCCGCGCCCGCCGAGGTGCAGGTACTGCCACGCAGGCAACCCTTTCGGCGCGTCGTGGGAACTTTTGCCTGCTTGTTGGCAACACTGCCGAAAATGACCGCCGTCCCTTGCAGTGCCGCGTCCCCCTGGACGTGGAGGTGCTCGGGCGCGCCGCGGTACCTCTGCGAGCGCCACGAGCGCGGCGCGGAGGAGCAGCCCCACGCCGTCTCGGCCTGCAAGATGTCCTGCGGGCCCGACGCCAACCTCTGGCCGCGGCCGCGCAGCGTCAAGGTCAACCACGCCACCAGCGCCATCAACTTCAACTCCCTGAGCGTCGAGTTCACCGACATCCACGGCAACTCGCTCGACATGCAGCGAGAGTAAGTGTCCCACTGTAAAAACCGATCGTTCCCCGCACCGCCACGCTGTAAACACGCCACGTTTCTGTTTCACAGTGGAGGCGGCTTGCTGGCCAAGATATCGGAGCGCTTCCGCCACCAGCAGGAGGAGAAGGCCACGGCCAAGGATGGCAGCACGCTGGTCAAGTACGGCGGCAACACGGTGGAGGTGGTGCTGCGCCTCAAGACCCCCGCCGTCGCGCACCTCACCCTGGACACCGACGAGAGCTACGACCTGACCGTGGCGCAGGCCGGCGGGCTGGTGAGTCCCGAACCCCTTCCAATAGGATTTGCCTTTTAATCCGTTTTAATCCGCCTGATTGGGGCCAAATGGACTCGCAGCCCGCAGGCCGGGCCACGCCGGGCCGGGCCGTGCCGAGCGAAGTGAGGCGAGTGCTTCGTAGAACCGCAGAGTAAATAGCGGCGGAGGGGGAGGGGGCTGAGCCGTCCCCAAGGCAACACGACCGGGGCAATCGCGGAGGGCCGAGAGCGGAAAGCGGGCACACTGGAAGCTCGCTGGAAGCGGAACGCGCAACCAAGCCCCGCAAGCCCCACCGCAACGACGGCAACGACGCTGTCCTCGGATGCAGCTAATCCGGAATCCGGCACACTAGCGCCAGGGATACGTTTACAAACTTTACAACCAGTCGCTGCAGTGGCATTGGCGACTACAAGGGCGTTGCGCGCTGCGTAAACCAAAAATAGTTTCTTTTTTCTTTTTTTATAAAGAGGTCAATGGATGACAAAATGACGACGCTAGGACTTCATAGTTGGGAGGAGCGCCTTAAGGCTGCAGCTGCTCGATCAAGTACAAATGATCCTAAAAATTCTGATCAATTTAGAAATTGGGTAGGAGCATAAATTATATCCCTTAGTACCATGGGAATCCCAATTTACGCACGAGTTTTTTGGAACAGGTCCCATCATTTGCGCTCGATTGCGCACTGGGTACTTGCAGCGTCGCGGTGCAGACTGGAAAGCCCCCGGCAAGCTAGGCAACCACGCGCAGCGCGCGCAGTCCTGTGCCGCGGGCTTGCATCCTCCGCATCGCAGGCGCTCCGTGCCCCGCGCCCCGCACGCGCGGGGTAGCGCCGCGGCGGCCGCCACGTCACGCACGGGGTATCGACGCTGACGCTACACTGTTGCTGCCGCAATGTTTGCAGATGAACGTGACCCTGGGCGCGGACAACGTGTTCGGCGCGCGCCACGGCCTGGAGACGCTGAACCAGCTCATCGTCAAGGACACCCTGCGCCGCGAGCTGGTGATGCCGACCGAGGTTCGCATCGTGGACTCGCCCGCCTACAAGTACCGCGGCGTGCTGCTGGACACGGCGCGCAGCTTCGTCGACGTGCCCGCCATCAAGCGCACCATCGACGCCATGGCCTCGTCCAAGCTCAACACGTTCCACTGGCACATCACGGACTCGCACAGCTTCCCGCTGGTCTCCAAGACCTTCCCCAAGTTCAGCCACTTCGGCGCCTTCTCCCCCGAGGAGGTACGTGCACTGTCGTGGAACGGCTTGAGCTTGAGCTGGTCCCAGGCTAACGCCCCTCCCTCCCTCCACAGGTGTACACCCCCGCGGCGATCCGCGACGTGGTGGAGTACGCCCGCGTGCGCGGCGTGCGCGTGCTTCCCGAGCTGGACGCGCCGGCGCACGTCGGCGAGGGCTGGCAGTGGGTGGGCCACAACGCCACCGTCTGCTTCCGCGCCGAGCCCTGGCAGAAGTTCTGCGTGGAGCCGCCGTGCGGCCAGCTGGACCCCACCGTGGACAAGGTGTACGACATCCTGGGCGGCCTGTACCGCGACATGATTGACGTGTTCCGGCCCGATATGTTCCACATGGGCGGCGACGAGGTGGGTCACTGGAAATCTTTTCGAAACATTGTTTGGAGGTGTTTGTCCCACGAGGTTCAATGATGTGTCGTTCCGTTCCCAGGTCAACTTCCACTGCTGGAACACGACGGAGTCCATCCTGCAGTGGCTGGCCAAGCAGGGCGCCAACCGGACGGGCGACGACTTCCGCAAGCTGTGGGACCACTTCCAGTCGCGCGCGCTGCAGAAGCTGGTGGAGGCCAACAACGGCAAGGAGCTGCCCGTGGTGCTCTGGACCAGCGGCCTGACGGCGCCGGGCAAGGTGGACCGCTACCTGGACCCCAAGAAGTACATCATCCAGATCTGGACCAAGGGCGACGACCCCCTGATCAAGGAGCTGGCCGAGAAGGGTTACCGCCTCATCTTCTCCAACTACGAGGCCCTGTACTTCGACTGCGGCTTCGGCGCCTGGGTGGGCGAGGGCAACAACTGGTGCTCGCCCTACATCGGCTGGCAGAAGGTGTACGACAACGACCCGCGCGCGCTGCTGCGCCGCCTGGGCGTCACGGACCCGCGCCTGCTGGAGAACGTCCTGGGGGCCGAGGCCACGCTCTGGACGGAGCAGGCGGACTCCTACAGTGTGGACGGCCGCCTGTGGCCGCGCGCGTCCGCCATGGCCGAGCGCCTGTGGACCAACCGCCAGGACTGGAAGTGGACGGACGCCGAGCACCGCATGCTGGAGCAGCGCAAGCGGCTCGTGGAGATGGGCGTGGCCGCGGACCGGCTGGAGCCCCAGTGGTGCGACCAGAACCCCGGCCTGTGCTACCTCAGCAAGCGCCCCGAAGACCAGCCCGTCCCAGGGGAGCACTGACATTCAGCGGCACCGCCGGCACCGGCAGGGGCGCGTGCGTTGCCACTTCATCAACTCCCTGCTGACACACTGATACTTACAGGAGAAGGCTCCAAGAGTCGTCCAAGTCTCATGTGAATTACCCATGTGGCTGGTGTCTTATCTTGATCTCACAATTTTTGAAAGGAACGTCGTTGTGATCGCTGATTTTATGCCATACTTTACTTTTGATCTGTCATGTTGGGTGTATTTAAGGTCTAGATACAGCAATGTGATGTGTTGCAGAAATATTTGTGATATTATTTTTCAATTATATTTTTACCATAAAAATAATTAAACCAGACTTTGTTTTGATTGGAAATGGGGAGGAACGGTGCAACAAAAAATAAATGTGATTACAAGAAAGTTTATTGCAGGGTCAAATAGTCTGCATAAATACATACCATACAGTGTAGATTGACTAGACTGGAAACACTACAAGAATAATGAAATTGTACTAATGAATAATGATATGCAAGTATGGGTGCTTTCCCAAAGTTGCATATCACCACTTACATAATAATCTAAGCTCTATCCTTTCATCACAAAGTGCTTTACAGACAAAGTGCAAAAACATGTGCTTTTCCAAAAGAGACTCAATAAAAAAATTGTAACCAACTTTAAGTCAATTCTGAATGTATATGTAGCAGCAACAGTCAGATCTGTAAATACATTATACACGCATTACTACAACTGGAATGCTTTGAAATTTATACTCTACTCCAAAACATGATAAAACGATAAAACATGTTTTCCTAGAAGAAAAGACAGTTAACACAGCTTACTGAATGGTTTCTAAATTGAGAAGATGCATTCTGGTACATGAGAAGGAGGCTCCTTCTTCTCTCCTGATTCTGATGTTTCAAGGGAGACACTTACATGCTTTAAACCCTCCAAGAATCTCTTTCTAATACTGAGTTAAAAATTGCAGGGGGGAAAAATGTAGAGTCTGATTCAATCTTCAGCACCATAGTCCAAAGCCCTAACTCTAATTCCATCAAGAATGAACTTAAAATAAAATTTGTACCTGACGGGAAGAGTACAACTAGGCGTAAACAGAGTCTTGTTGAGCACAAAAATGCACCGTGGTATCTGGGCTCATACACATAAATGCAAATGAATAATGCACCAGGAAAATGCAAAGCTTAACAGCAAGTGCAAAAAAATTGATCAGCAGACATACAAGCTAATAATACATAATCACAGATCCCATGAACAGCAACAAAATCATTTTGCCCATTCACAGAATTCATAAGATATAAGGCACTTGTAATAGTCCTGTAATTTGTGTTTTTATGTACCCAAAAGAAACAATTATGTTAGTTTTGTAAATACAATAAATGTATGTGTCTTCTCGAATTAAAATTCATGAAACAGCATGCATTCTTATACTAGATTCTTTCAGATACAGTATCATCTTTCATCAGTCTTCCTTTTAAAGTTGTTCAGTTGCCAAACAAGATCACATATGAGATCAACAAATTTAGGCTAGTGCTCAATGCACTTCTACATCTCGTAAACAGGTCTGAAAATTCTTTTTTCTAACCATAGATGAACAATTACAGAGTGTCAACAATAGTAAAGGTAATCAATGAACATCTTGTTATTGTCCCAAAAATTGTGTTCCACTTAAAAATTTTCAAATACTAAAATTTGGTGAAGTTTTTTTTACATTAAATTTTACACAACAACATTGGACCCTCGATTTGGTTTCATCAAAACTCTGTTAATGAGGTGTTTACATAAATATGGGGTTTTTCTACAATGGCTAAATATAATCTACAAGTGCTGAACTTCTTAAGCATTAAAATTAGAGAAAGTCTTAAGTGTCGAGACAAAAAATGTCACATAAAATCCAAAAAAGAGTAATTTTCAATACAAATGAAGACTGTTTTTAAATTCATGCAACAAGTAAGCTGCCACTAAGGGCAGCAAAGGCATTCAAAGAGGCCATAACAGTTTGACCCACATCAATACAATGCTGAGTCTTTTCAGTCAAAGAAACTCATAACAGGTGAACCACCCTCTAAGAACACAGTAAAAGTGCTTGTACACACATATGCACTAAAAGAAATGATCCTACTAATAGAATGGGAGATTCATGAAATCAATTCATCAATCCCACTTTAAAAAGAAGGCTTTTGTACTTAATCCAAGTTAACCTGACACATTCTTATATAAGAGAAGCAATTCAAACTACACATAATAGAGGCGGACTTTAGATGTGGATACCAGATCTTCCCCATTGAAAAATTTGGTCTCAATGACTATGTTTCCACTAGAACAGATTAAAAAAAAAAAAAAAAAACAACAGAAAAACAAACCCAATTGGATGTTTAAATTACAGTTATTATTATAATAGACACATTTATTAGAATGTTAACAATTGTTACCTGAGAACTGCAGCGGGCATCATCTGACTTTCTGGAGCTGCTTCAATAAGTGATTGCCACGTATTTGTTGAATGGGGAATTACAAAGCCGAAATCAAAAAACCATTCTTCCAAGCATCGGCCCTAGAATCAAGTTCAAAATTAAGTATTGGGTTTCTTGAAGAAAATGAGTGAAGAAAGAAACACATTAACACAAAGACCCATACCTTAAAGAGAACTTTCTGTTCCAAGCGAAACTTGTCCATGGGTTGCACAGATGAAAAGTTTATTTCCCGTGAAACAGCTCGACATTGGAGGATTTTCTTGGGAACTCTGGCTTCATGTTCACAATCTGGTACAGACCTGAAACACATAACAGGTGAGTAGTTCATTTTCAAAAAGTAAACACTTTCAATACGTTCATCAGAAAAGAGAGAACGACTCACAAGTCTTCATTGCCTTGCCAGAGTATTCTCCCTGAATCAGCATCTCGTAAATTTAACCAATTACTGCAAGAGAAGTTAAGATAATACTGAAGGAAACGGCACGGATAACACAATGCTTTGTGATTAGAAATTGAATTTTGTTTGATGACATCGTCTGCTAGAAAATAGGATAACCTCTTTGAGGTTTGGTATCTTGCGGCATTGCTGGAATAAAAGACAGGCCTAGAGTTGTCATGTAAGATAAACGCATGAGTGTAAAAATGTCAAAGGATACACTTTGAACCCTTGCAGAATTTCGTCACCCCTCGGAGCCATTGCATAGAAAATACTAGAACTAAAATACAAAACGACGTCTTAACATCACAACAAAAGGGTACGTTCGGAAATCCATTCATTTGTTTTCCACAACGTCACGCTGGTACCCGAATCCACCACGAGGGGCGCTGGTGTACCACGGTCTCTGGAACGCTCCCAAAGCGCGCGACAATTCAAATGATGAACCCAGTTGTCTTATCTGACTCTTGTTTATCAAAATTTCTTCCCATGTTTTCAAACTAAAACTCTTGATTGAAAATCGTGGTAAAATGCATTATTTTGTCCTACCTCATAAATCTTGTGCAATATGAATAATAAATTTGAATCAGTCTGTTAATTTACGTATGTTCGAATCGTTTCAATCTGTCCTGGAAAATCCCAACGAAGACGAGAACGTAGTGAATGGGACCAGAACCCCCCCCCCCTTTTCTCTCCCTTTTTTTCTTGTCCCATTCTGCGATCACTGTCCTCGCTTTGACTTTGAGCTGGGTTTTTTGGGGCGAGATGCTGTGCGGATAAGCGAGTGGACTGGACCAGTACCGACTGACCAGTCAGGATTCTGCTGGAGTCAGCTGGCAGGGCGGGGGGCGGGGGGAGAGGCCCCGCGGGACACCCCCGTGAGGCGTGAGGCGTGAGGCATCGCACCGACTGGTTCCACGCAGCGTTTCGTCGCTCTTTCTCTCTCGCACCTGTGCGGTGCCGCCCCGCGAGTGCGAGAGAGACAGGGCGATGGCTGCGGTGTGCGGAATCGGCCTGCTGGAGAAGCAATAATTCCGATTACGACCGGCCGGCCGCGAAAAGTGGCGCTGCTTCCAGGGAAGACCATCCCATCCGTCCGCCTCGACCATCCCGACCTTGGCGAACCGCCCCGTGAGTCATTCTCCCGGAAAAAGCCCTTGAGGGACTTTCGGGAGGTGGGCCCCTAGGTGGGCCCCCAGGGGCACGCAATTGCGTCTTTCGCCTCCTCCTAGCGATAACATTCGTACCATTCGCCGTTCAATGTCCCACCCGGCTGCCGCTAAAACCGTAAGGGCATTGCGCTGGCTGATTCACAAGAAGCCGACTCACCTGCAGCGCAGGGCGCAGTGGGCGAACTCGCACCCCTGCAGTCATGCAGCAGGTCCCACTGCACCGCAGCCAGGTAAGGCAGGCGGGCAGGTAAGGGGAAGGGAGGGGCGGTGGAAGGGGGCCGGCCGTTGGCTTGCCGTTGGCAGCGGCGGGACGGGACGGACCGAGCCGGCAGCACCGCTGCGCGCCGCGCCGAGCCGACTCCGACCGACTCGACCGCCGGCAGGCAGTTGGGCCAAGTTGTTCGTTCAGTGAGTCTCGGGCTGTCGTCTGCATCGCGCGCGCTACGTGTGTTTGTGTCTTTTGTGCGTTCTGCGTCGCCCTGCGTCGCTCAGGCCCCGAGCGCCGTTTGCAAAGTGTCGAGTGCAGTGGCAGTGTGTGCGGGTGCAGTGGGCGTATTTCGTCGTGTGTGAGTGTGTGTGTTGAAGGGAGCTCAGTGGATAACCTAGCCCGTCTGGCAGCGATAGCCGGCCGCCCGACCCACCGGCTTTTCAACCCCTGGATTCTTCTGTCTAATGGTAACGTCAACTAAGCCCTGTGTGTTTACCCTTTCCAGTTTCCAATCGCTTCGGCGCAGGACGGAGACGTGTCGTCGACCGCCACTGCGCGACGTCTGCTCGCTGTTTGTTTGAATGGACGCGACGAGGACGGTCTTGGAGGGAATGTGGGTCTATTTCACGGCCGTGACACCACCGTAGCGGCGGGGCTAGGCGGAGCGCGGCGCGGTGGCCACGATAAAAAGAAAAAGGGTCGACGGCAGGTGTAAAGCTGTCCCGGTGCAGCCACCCTAATCCGCCCCCGTTCCCCCCGCCCTCCCCGCCGGCCGTCCAGTCCGGGCGTCGGCGGCCGCCGCCGTCGCCGCGTCATGGTCATGATACGCGTGGTGAACGAGGCCGTCGTCTCATCGTCGTCGCCAGCGAGTTCATCTCGTTCCCGGAGTGCTTGCCGGGCGTGGCCGGGCCGTCGCTGCTGTTATGGCCGGTTTATACGAGCGGAGTCGCGACTCGCACCGGACGTCGTCGGCACGAGGCTCTCGCGGAGTCAGTCTCGCGGAAGGACTCGGTAGGGTTGCCCCAGGTCGGGGCGGCTGCATTCACCTCGTTACCAGAACGGGAAGGCGGGCCGGGTTGTAACCCTTTCGTGATTGGTGCAAACTGAGCCGAACTTCGCATTTCATTTTTTTTCGGCGCAGCCGGCACTGAAGAAAAACGGACTTGACGCTCCCGTATAATAAGCTTACACGTCAAGACCGTTGTCCCCTGGGAGGGAAGGGGTGGGGGTGGGGAAGCAGTCCGGCTTCCGCTTTAACCCCCCCCCCTCCAGCCCGTTCTCACCCCGCGGGACAGCCCCCACCCCCCTCACGCAAAAACCCTTCCCCGCTGAAAGGACGACTTCGCCTGCCCTTCACGGCCGGGGCGAACCAACCCTCCACCTTTTCAAACCGGCCGGCGAGCAATGCGACTATAAAGTGATGTGAAAGTACTTTTTTGCCGACTCGCTTTGAAAAGCGCCGTGATTGGTCCGTTTCCAGCGCGTCAAAACCCTATCAGTGCCGCAATGAGACGAACTGACGTCACGGTGCTCCAGGCTGACGGGGCCGGGCGGGGCGTTTTCCAATTTTTTCCCTGTGCCCGCACTGCTAGTGCTGCCAGTGTGCCAGTGCACTGCCGATCTCCCGGTGATTGCTGCCCGGCTGTCCATTCTGTCCGCCCTGTCCGTCCTGCAGCCCGATATCACTCTGCCTATTTTTTCCCGCCGGCCGGCCGGACAGACTGACAGGACAGGCGGCCGGAACGTCGCTGTCTCTCTCGCGCCTCCGACACGGAGCTGGGTGCGAGCGAGACAGAGAGACCAAGGCGGAGGCTCGGAACGGCGTCGCCTCGACAGGCGGCAGCGCGCCGAAGCTACCCGTCTCTGTCGCGCACTCGCGCAGTCATTGGCCCGTCATGGGGGGGGGGGGGGGCTTTGGGGGCGTTCGGGAAAAGGAGCCGCCGGGAAGACCGGGGAGGCGGCCCAGAAAATGAGGCAAATAGCGGGAATGGAAAACAGCGCCACTGCGAAAAAAGCAAAAAGCCTCGCGGTCATTACAAGCGCATCAATCAGGCGGTTGAGTCCAGTCCAGCCCGCGGGGGAAGGGAGGGGGGGGGGCGCTTCGCGGGCGGCAACACCGCCGCCGCGGCTGATGTGTGAATCCGCTCCCAAAGAAAGGCAGCTTGGAAGAAAGGGGAACTTCGGGAGTAGCTTTTGGCGCTGCTAAGCTTTCGATCCACTTGCCGGACCACGGGGGTCGGATCAGCCTTTGCCGCTCCACTCGCTATATGTCCGTTCGATCCATCTATCGATCCGCGATCACGGCCAGATTGCCGCGGACTTTCACGGACCGGGCTCGGCTTTGGGTTTGGACTGCCTGTCTCTCTCGCTCGCTCTGGACCGCGCTCGCTCGGTACGTGACTCGGCCCAAGGGCTTCGGCAGCGGTCTCATTACGAGCCGCCTCTCTCGCACCCCTACGCGACGCACCGCGAGTGCGAGAGAGACGGAGCGCTTCGAAATCAACCTGCAGAGAGGGCCGCGGTCCGGCGTAGCGCCCTGCCTGCCTTGCCTGCCTGCGAACGAAAGAAAAAGAGTGTACGCGCTCCAAATAAAACATTTTGTTGCATTGTCTGCGACAAATCCATCCGGGACTGAACCCCCCTGGAACCCCTTTCCCCTTTGCCGTGCGCGGAGGAATGCACCGCGATGACCCCCCCTCCCCGCGCTGGTCGCTGCCTCGCTGCGCCGCGTCAAGGAGCAATGACCTTGAGATCAGTTGTTGGCTTGCTTCGCAGGCTTCGCATGGCTCCACATGGGCTGCTCGGCGAGGGCTGGGCTGGGCTCAAGCAAGTCGCTGGACGAGCTGGACTGGCCGCGTTGCCGGACGTGTGCTCAACAGGCAGTAGACTGATTCCGACTCTGTCTCTCTCGCACTCGCGGGGCGTCCGCTGAAGGACGCGAGAGAGACAGAGCGACGAGGGATCGGCGGACAGAACCGGGTTGCTAGAGGAGGAGCAAGGCCTGGGCACGGCAGTCAACAATGTGCGACTCTGTGCGAGCGCGTCCGTCTGTCTGTCTGTCTGTCTGTCTGTCTGTCTGTCTGTCCGCGGCCGCGCCGAGGGCCGCGCCGTGTCCGCGTGTCGCGTGCGGCGTTTCCGGCAGCCACTGCCAAATACTGACTCTGTGCTCGGACTGCCTTCCGCAGGTGGCCAAGCAGGCTGATTGCGCGTACAGAGTCTCTCTCTACCCGGGACGCCCCACGAGTGCGAGAGAGACAGCGCGACGAAGACACAGCTCAGCGTGCTGTCTGTCGCGCTGTCGCGCCGTCGCCCCGGGCTCGCGGACGCGGTTTATGTAGTACTCGTTCTAGCCGAGCAGCGAGCGCGTTGCGTGTCGCGGCACTGCTAAACGGCCGCGGCGTTTATGTGCCTCTCCTGCCAACTCGCGTCCGAAACGGGCGCAAACTAGCAGGCGGCGGCGGAGGTCGCGTGTCCCCTTCACCTGCCGCACCTGGGTTCGAGTACCGGCCCCGGCAAATGGTCTGGAATATTTTTTTTTTTTTTGCCGGCCGGCCGGTACCCGCCAGCATTAACTGACCCTACCCAAATGGGCTGGACCGCACCGGCGAAACCCCCGCTTCCTGTGGGCAAGGCACCGCGGCGGCACCGCGGCGGCGCGGCCAGAGTGCATCTGGGCGGCGCTGCGGCGCTGCGGGCGCTCTCCTCCGGCCTGGCCGGCCCGGTGGCCCGGAAACCGCGGCGGGCGAAATGATAATAATAAAATAATGATCCGGGACGGTGGTAACTGTCTGGCGTAGTACGTGCACATGCGGTTTTGATGAGGCCTGGGCGGGCCGCCCGGTCCGCCGTTTGGCTTGTGGCTTTCCAGTGAAAGGTGCGGGGCCCGCGGGGCCGCCGTGCCGCCGACGGGGAAGTCCTCAGAGTCCGCCGCCGCTTTTGGCACGGGCTGTCCGCTGTCCCCCGGGGCGAGTGGGTTTCATGCTGATGGCTTGGCGCACCAGCAGCAGCCCCGGCCCGACGCCAGCAAGTGCGTGTTTTCGAACGACATACCCGCCCCTCGGGCTGGTCTCCGGGAAGGGGCTCCGGTGTGTGTGTGCCCCGCTTGGACAGGGAACAGGGAATCAGTTTCGCCGGCCGCTTATTTTTTCTGGGTTTCTGGCTGGCCTCTTTGGAGCCGGCAGTCCTGGCTGGCAGTCCAGCCCAGACTTGCGTGTCCTGTCCGGACAGCTTCCGCGGGCCGGGCCGCGGGCCGGGCCCAGAACGTTCGGTCAAGGTCAAGCGGCGTGTCCCACTCTGGTCCCGAATCCCGAGGGGCGATCCCCGGCCGATCCCTCGGGACCCACTCTGTAAAGGCCGGCTCGCCGAGATTGCTTTTTAATTGGCCTCCTCCAGGATGCGTTCTTATCTCTGTGCAGCGCGCGGCCACGGCGACGCCCTCCATCAAGGTGCCCGGCGCGCGTGGCCGCGAGCCTCCCGACGTGCATGCCGTCCACCGCCAACAAGAATCGCTCCGTCTCTCTCGCACCGCCCGGGCCGGCCCGCGAGTGCGACAGAGACAGCGACAGGCGCCGAGCTAGACGGCCATCTCGTTGGACGCGCTGCACGCCGTCTGCGTGTTGGCCGCGCGAAAAAGCGGAGCGGAATGGGAAGAAGCGGCCAAACTGGCGGAAACGGACGCCATTTGCGCCGCGTTTTAGTGTTTCAAGTGTTTTAGTGTCTGAGTGCACTCCGAGGAGGGATTTCCCGGCCACTCGATCGGCTGGTCCGCGCTGCTTTTTGTCCGATTCCTTTTCTAATCACGTCGGCGTGGTTGGTGATCCTTCCTGCGGCTGTTTTTGTCTGCTTCTCCCTCTGCCTGCTTTTGGAGGTGTTTATGCAGAGTCGACGACCCGGCCGCCTTGCAGGCTTTGCCTCGCCAATCCCGGGCCGGCCTCGGCTCGGCCGGATGCAGGCAGAGACCGGCGGGCGCAAGGAGGCTCCCTGCTTCAGTCTTGAGTCTGATTGCCATGCGACGCGGAGCGCGGAGCGTTTAGTCACTTCCTTTGACGGGGAGGGAGGGAGGGGAGGAGCCTCTCCACCTCGACGGCAAGCACGGCAAGCGACACGATCAAGCCGTTGCCGGCTCCTCGTTGACGCCCTTTCACCCGCCACGGCGGCGCGGCGGCGTGGCGACGCGACGCCCTTGCAGGCCGCGCAGGCCTTGCAGCAGGTGGCGACCTTTCTGCCGGCGTGGAGGCCGTGGAGGCCGTGGAGGCCCTGGGCGTGGCGAAGGTGAAACGCGGAGGCGGCCGCTCTGTTGTTGTGTGCGGCGCGGCCTGCGGTCCGAACTGCAAACAGCGAATTTGGCGCACTTTCTCGCGTGACTGGCGCGCGCTCTATCATCTCTCGAGCGCGCCGAAAGCAATGCGATTGGATTTCGTCGTTGCGTGTGCGTGTTTGTGTGTTTGTGTCCAGTGCAGGCGAGTCA